GCGGGGGCGGGCGGCCCGCGAGCTGGCCTGGCCCCTGCCTTCGTTCACACCAGTTTCATCCCTCACAATCCTCCCCGGCCGCCATTCTTCAGGCTCCTCTCCTCCCCTCCCCTTCCCTGCCCTCCCCTCCCTTCTCCCTTGCCGGTCGGGGCTGATGTCTCAAGGTGGCTACTGCCACCCTGGCCCCAGTGAGGCGCTTGCTGTGGGTGGTGGCTTTGTCCTCTCTGGGAAAGGCTCCTGAGAGGGAAAATAAAACCACGGATATAGCCACGCTCCTCTCGCAAATGTGCGGCCCCTGGGACGGAGCCGTGGGGTCGGTCCAGCTTGGGCGTTCCTGCGGCTCTGTCTGCAGCGCGGTGCGTGGAGAGGCAGCGCTTGCTGCTCCTGGACAGCTGAGGGCAGCAATAGCCAAGGTTTGGGACATGCCACGCAGCCTGCCCGGCTCCTGCTGGCCTGGGGCCACCTTGGTGCCGGATGCTGGTTTCTCTGCTCCCCAATGCCTTTCTTTGCCAGGCTGGGCTGGGCTGCTGGACTTGCCTCCCCTGTTGCCAGCAGCTTGGGCCTTTCTGGGAATTGCTGCTAGGAAGGGCTTTGAGATGCCACTTGCTCTCGGTTGGCATCAACGTAGAGAGGGAATCGCAGCTGCCTTCCAGCTTTGGTCACGGTCGTATCATCCGCACCTGCAGCGCTCCCTTCTTTATGCTTAAATATCATCCATATCACCCAGGAACGTGTCTGGGGTCTCATCCCCACGTACCTGTGCTCTCTGGCCGCCCTCCTACAGGTGCCATGGAGATCTGGGTCCCGGACGAGCCCGTGGTGGCCCTGTTTGGCCGCGACGCCACCCTGCACTGCGCCTTCTCCCCCGAGGCCAACTTCAGCCTGGACGAGCTGACCCTCATCTGGCAGCTGACGGACACGAAGCGCATGGTGCACAGCTTCTCTGGCGGCAGGGACCAGCTGGCCGACCAGGGCGGCGCCTACGCCAACCGCACGGCCCTCTTCTACGAGGAGCTGGCGCAGGGCAACGTGTCGCTGGTGCTGCGGCGCGTGGCCATCTCCGACGAGGGCAGCTTTACCTGCTTCGTGCGCGTCAGCGACTACGACAGCGCGGCTGTGCTGCTGCAGGTGGCCGGTGAGCGCGGGGCCAGCGGCGTCCCCGCGCAAGCGCCCACAGGTTCTCCCCGTTGGACTGGCCGCCATGGTGGAGCATCATTCTGTGCATCCCTGCCAGGACGTCCCCTGAGCTTGTCCCTCTCCAGCAGACACGGAGCAGCCCTGTGAGATGCCAGCGGCGCCGTGCTCAGCCCCATGGATGCCCACTGGGGACAGGCACGGGGCAGAGCTGGGGCACGGCTACTCCCACTTGGGCGGGCGGCTCCCCTCCAGTATCCTCAGCTTTAGCTCAGCCTTTCGGCTCCTGGGAAATGCTGTTGCTGTTGCCTGATTTCTAGGGCTCCTTGGGGATGGCATCCCTGAGCTCCTGGGTGTAGGAAGGGGGCAGGAGGGTCCCCAATGTGGAGTTGTTGGTGTGGTGGTGGAGCTATGGGTAGATGCCTTGGGGAGGTAAGAAGAAAATGGCCATCTATTGCTTTGAGCCTCCAGCTTGTTCTCCTCTCCCTTCCAGCTCCTTACTCCAAGCCCAACCTGAACCTGGAGCCCAACAAGAACTTGAAGCCGGGGGACCTGGTGGCAGTGACTTGCCACGCATCCCGCGGCTACCCTGAGGCCACTGTCCTCTGGCAAGACAGCCACGGCGGCAACATCACGGAGAACGTCACCACGTCTCAGGTGGCCAACGAGGAGGGTCTCTTCGATGTGCACAGCGTCCTGCAGGTGTCGGTGGAGCCCAGCAGCACCTACTCCTGCCTGGTGCGGAACCCGGTGCTGCAGCAGGAGGCCCAGGCCTCCGTCACCATCACGGGTAAGCCGGCTTCGGGACATCACACGTGGGCTCTCCGTCAAGGACGAGATTGTCTTTGCTTGGCTCTAGCCCTGCTTAAAGACCCTACAGGCCCTATGCAAATACTGCATCACTGGTAGTCCCAGCTGACCCTGCGTGAAGTCAGGAGGAGGGAGCTGTGAAAACAGGGCATAAATCCAGGCGGGCCCCGTTATTGCCTGCTGTCCATTTAGAAGGAGCCGTGTCACAGGGCTGTGTCACAGGGCTGTGCGTGACCAGGGCCTGCTCCATGGGAGACCTCTGCAGGGTCTGCCCACACGGTCCCGGGATGGGAGACGGGGGCTCCCTAGGGCCGTGGGCTCCTCCTGGCCCGCACTGTGGAGCAGGGATGTGCTCCCGCGCGGCTCCCAGGGATGCGGCCGCTCCGCGGGATGCTCCACAGGGCTCGTGCTGGCGACGGGCTCGCTGCCGTTACGGACGGCTTCCGTTTGTCCTCGCTAGCTGAGCTTTTATAGATGCTTGGGAGCTCTTTATAACCTTGTACGCTCACTGGTAGCATTAATTAGTGCTTAATTGTCCTTGGTACGGCAGTTGTTGGGTTGTGAAGGAGGGTTCCCTGGTGGAGCATAAACCTTGTGGCTGGATGCACCAGGCTCTTCCCGCAGCCCTGCGCAGCTGCAGGAGGGGCAGAGGAGCTGCTTGGCTCCGCGCTGGCCTTTGGCACAGGGGCGCCAGTGCTGGCTTTGGCCCTGTGACGGGCCACGGCTGCTGCTGCCGCGCGGTTCGGAGCCTGCGCTGATCCCAGCATGGGCAGTTATCGGGGATTTGGGCCCAAAAGAAGTGAGGGCATCAAGCCTGTACTGAAAGCAAACGTGCCCGGGTGGGAAGGGAGCCGAGAGCAGCTGCTACAACAGGGCTGCATGGGGAGAGCCCGTCCTTGGGGCCGTCACACTGTCCTGGACCTCGGGCTGGTGCCACAGCGTCGAGTCGAGGAGGCTGGTCCCCCGTAAGGGCCGTGGTGCCTGGCTGCATGGAGCCCTGCCCACGGCAGAGCGTGCGGAGGCCCCGCGCCCAGCGTCCTCCCTGCCTCCCTTCGGCTTCTTCGCAAGCGCCGGCTCAGCTCGCGATTTGACTTTACTAGGGCAATTATTTAAAGGTTAATGAAGTATTTTATGGAGTGACTCAACCTGTCCGCTTCCTGCTCTCCGTGCGGATCCAGAGCTGCGGCAGGGAGGCCATAGCTAGAGGAGCTCGCGGTTGTATTTCCAGGGAGCCGAAGCAGTGCCTGTGCCCGTGCCCAAGCGCTGCAGGGCTGTGGAGCGGGCCGCGCTCCCGTTCCCACCGCCGCGCCATTCCCGTTCCCGTTCCCAGGTCAGCACCTCGTGCTCCCCGCCGTGGCGCTCTGGGTCACCGTGGGACTCGCCGTCTGCATCGTGGGGCTGCTCATAGCCCTGGCCTACGTGTGCCACAAGAAGATCCGCCAGAGCTGCGAGGAGGAGGAGGCCAACGCAGGTAACGCGCTCGGCTGCAGCGCCGGCATCGAGAGAGCCCTCCCAGGCGGCGCCGGAGGAGCCGCTGGGCT